TGCAATTCTGCAAATGCATGCATAAAAAGGACCAATCGTGATGAAAGAGAATGTGGCAAGATCAGGCTGAGGTGTCTGGAAACTCCTTCCATCAAGATTCATCTAACATTGGAGGCTAAGCTATCCACCTAGTTGTCACGAGATAATTAAAAGGCTTTTTGGTGCCATATATATATATCAGTCCAAATGATGTCTTTTCTCACTTTTTTTATTTTCTGAAAAAAAAAAAAAGAAAGAAACAGAATTTCCTAACAAAATGACAATAGAATAGCAATATGACTTTACAGTATACAAAGGAAAAAACACCAGCCTGCCAACATAAAAACGGTTTACCTTTCCTGGAATCTTATCATCCAATCTAGACTTGGAAATAGTCAACAGACTGAAAACTGGAAAAGAATATTAGGAACAGGCCACTTTCACTTTACATTCACTTTAGGATTTGCACTCAAGGTATCAGAAAGTGATGGTTTTAACCTTTTCAAACTAAGTAAGTACAAAACGTTCAGAGGAGGCTTCAAGCATGTGTAAGGAACTATGCTAGATAGTGACTTACTTCAGGCTGTATTATCAATGTATTGTTTTAATCTCAGTTACCCCGTTGCCAGCCACATCATCCCTTTGTGACAAAGGATTTGGCCAACTTCACAGTTACTTAGTGAGACTGGCATATTGCTCCAGGGTCTTAGCAAAGGACGGCTCTGAGCTGAAACTCATTAATTACACAACCCTCATGGTTGACCTAGTGTTCTTACTTTAATACTTTGAGGTTAAAATAGAAATTCTATATTAAGGTAACAAATCGTTTTAAATTTTTTCTCTTAAATCATATAAATACTTGCTAAAATTAACCTAGAGAAAAATTCCAAAATATGTGTAGCTTATCATCTGATTAAGAAAATTCATAAGTATAGATTCTATTTGATATTTTATATGTATATTAATTCATCAGTAATATAACTTAAAATATTAATGGCAATTATGTAAAAACAGAAAAACCTCTTTGGTGGTAAGGTGTGGTGTTAGAGGCAAATACAAATATTTGGGAAAAATATCACAGGGGCAAACTCTATGTCTACACTGACTAATCATGAATACTAAGGGAATGAACTATATTGCATACATATATTTACAATTTAATCTGATAATTGCATTTATGAGGCATCTCATACATTCTAGATATATAATTCATTTTTTCTAATTAATATATGCAGGTCCTTGAAAGATCCATGAAGCTAACATCTCCTCCCATTTAACCTACATTTCCCATTCTCCTCTAATGACCTTGTCCATGCCTCAGGACATCCAAAGCATCTTGAAATAAAGGCAAACAGAAATGGAATCACACAGCATGTTGTGACCTTCCTTATGCATGACTGGCTCTTACAGGAATCTGGAAAAAGAATCCACAGCAGTGTAAGAATGTATGCACCACTTTTATTTTGATCCATGAATTATAGATGTACTTCTGAGGGGCCATTTCCCTTATGGTTTCTCATGCAAAAACAGTCTGTAAATATCTAACATTCTTGACCCAGTACGTTAATCAGGCAGCAACGTAGACATGAATGGCCTTTCTATGCTGAGCTTAATTAATGATATGTATAACTACATGGCCCTAGCAACTCCCTTTAAATACTACATAATAGGATACATTTTCCCACAAGGGCCTAAAAGCTTGTGTTTTCTAGTCATGAAGTTTTGCTCACTGTTGTGAGGTCAGCTCGCTCATTTCTTAGCATTCTTGTTTCCCAACTGCTATTAAAACTGTTAATTCATTGAGTTCATCTGTCATGGGCCTGCTTTAACATGCTTGCCAAAGGCTCTGAGAGCTGTTCCCACTTTGCTATTTCTTTGTGCTAATGAATCACTTTGAACTAGTCAGATATATCGTCACCACTGAATGTAATTCCTTATGTGAGTTTACTGCAATAAAATCAAGATGAATACTTGCACCTGCTAACTTGGCTATATTGCCTATTCATTTGGACCTTGTCACGGGCATCTGTAAGTGTAGGGAAGAAGTCTTCTCACTTTTTGAATACACAATGAGACAAGGCATAAGGCTTGTGTTTAAAAGGACCAAGACGTATCACCAAGTAAACAGTGAAGTAAACTTACTTATTTAAAGATCTTCAGAACTCTTAAGGGATATATCCACACTTAGCTTCTGAAACAAAATACATAAAATAAATGGCATTGTCATATTTCTAATTGTTATAATTATGATTCACTTAATATTAGGTTTCTCTAGAGTTATTACTAAAATAGGGATGTGACCCAAAAGATACCTGTCTTCTCTATAAGCGTTTTATTTATAAACTCAAAAAGTATACCTGTGCATTTATTTTTCTTTAAAAAGGCACCTTACCACCACTTTTTTTGTAATTTATTTTTACTTAAAGCCAAAACTTAAATTGATCATTCCTAGAAAAAGTGATTTGTAGTTCTTTCCAACATCTATAAAATATACACTAGTCATGTATAAAGTATGTCCTCTTAAGCAGGAGAATATTCAGCGTGAGGCTCTACCATTAACGCCACTAATTTGTTTATGTCTTTGAAAAGACAGGAAATTTCCTAATGAGCATTGAATAATAAGTCTCAGTCATTTTGGCTAGAAGATTCTGAGTGTCTTAAATATTTTCACTTCAAGTAAGATGTATTTTTTTGACTGCTTGAATTAATATCTGGTACAAAGTTAACGTCTGTCTATTTCCGTGGTACTTTACTCTCTTGTAACTTCCTTTGTGAAAATCTCTCCAGGGAGACAAGAACCCAAGGAATGAGCCTGGGATGGCTTACATGCTACTGAGATAGGTGTCGGGTGTTCTTACTACACTATCTGCTTAAATCTGACAAAGCCTGACAGTGCTGACAGGTGCAGTGATGACACTTGTGAGCTCTCCAAGTACATGACTAGCGACGGCCACCCATGAATATGTATGCATTCTTCTCTCAGATATTTTCAGTGTCTATGCTTCATCAGATGCTGCAGAAAAAAAAAAAAAATAGGGTCCACAGTGATGAATTAGACTGGTCCCGTGTTCAGTTGGCCCTAATCCACTCCTAGCACTCATGTACTCAAACTAAAGGAAGATAGCATTTGCTTCTGTCAGTTTCACCTTCTGCACAATATGTAATCTTTTTATTTGTCACAAAGATTGAGAACTAGCAAATTAAACCAATGGGGACTTACTGTATGTCTCTTATAAGCAAAGCGATGCGTTAGGTGATTTTTGAGACACAAAAATAACTAAAACTGTACGACTGCAGTAATACAACACTAGCTACTCTGAGGAATGTTTCATCAGACTTTAGAACTTATCTCCATGACAAAAAGTTCTTCTGAACCAGCATATTCAATGTAGCCATCTCCAACTGCTGAGCTAGTGTTACCACACTTCTTTCTGGAAATGTATACGATCCCATTTGCTTTCCGAAAAACATCAGATGCATGTAGTTATGCATATTTAATGCTTTCTTCCAGGTGTTGAGCTACTTATGGAAGCACTTTTTCTGTGCTATCACTTCCCATATTGCTTAGAAAGGCACTTAATAAGAATAAAATACATTTTGCTATGACTAGGCAACATGTCATTTCGCTATAAAACTCACTGTAAATTGTAACTCACATTCTTCAGACTTTCAATAAAATTTCTTCTTACCTAGTGATTATGCATTACTCCTATGTACATATGCAAGTCCTCAAAAGCAGAAAAAGTACTGACCTAAGCTTGATTCATGGGAATGCAACTGGAGATCAGTCTTAGTATGAACCACGACTCTGTCCTGAGTAGCAGACTTTTACTTGGTTTCTTGCCCTGATAAGTAACATACTCATCCCCTTATTTTTTGCAAGATCTGAAATAAGTGCAGTATATCTGTAGAAAACTCCCTCATGGAAGATAATAAGTACAATCACCAGTGATTTGTTTGTTTTTATTGGACAAGCATGTAAAATTTTAAGGGTAAAACTAAGGCTTACTTAATTATCCCAACCTTACAATTCATACTTTAAAATAACACTAACACCCAAACTATCAAAGTTGCTATGAATTTTAGAGAAACATTAAATGTTACTATTAGAGTGCTTACAAGCTGTCCTTGATATTTGTTAAAGCAGAAAAAAATATGAATTTTTCACTTAACCATCAAAAGACATGAAAATCAGCAATTGAAAATGTTAAAATAATTATTTAGTAGCTTGAAGTTAGGGGTACCCAACTCTTTTTTTTTTCTTTGATGGAATGACAGTACATTATAAATTCCAATGGTTTCTATTCTAAAACCCCAGCTTCCCAGGCCTGACCACCATGGCACAGCCTTGAGGAATTATGGCCATTTAATCAGGGCTGAGTGTTTCCATGGTCAACCTTCAAGCAGCGATGCTAAGCCCATCTTTTCTCCAGTGACAGATGAATGCATTTACTCCACTGCCTCCTGCCTGCCAGTACTTCAAATGCCCTGTGAAAGTTCACGCTTCCTGATATATCAGAGTTTAGCAACAGAACGACCTTCCAATATTTGTTTTCAACTCTTTCTGATACACAGTTCATTACTTCCGTAAAACGTCTGAGCAGGAAGTCAGTAGATGCTCACTGGAGCAGATCAGGAACTGCGGCAGATTCTAGAGCTGGAAATTGATAGCAAGGATCCTCTAAAGAGAAGTATGAGAGAGTTTCAGTTTCCTAAATGCTTGATGCTCGGAGAGGTAAAGAGGCAGAATTACAGTGGCTTATTTGCCTTTTAGTGTACTGTTAAAGAGATGCATAACTCTCTTTCACAGCAGTTTGTTTGAAGCTGTCACTGGGTCACCTGCCTTAGTCACAGCCATCTGATCTAAAACCCTTTAGGATAATCCCAAGGTCTCAGTATGCATCTCAGAGTCTTGGATTCATATTCTAACTGCTTATGTACTTTGCTATTGTAAGAGAACACATTGCGACTGCATGTGACTTAGGCTCAAAAACAAAACAAAATCAAAAAAGAATACCATGTGATTTAATTTTGTCTGTTTATTATTATTTATCTCGATGCCTGTTAACCCTTCAGTGTTTCAGGCTTCTAACAGAGAAAAACAAAAGAAATACATACAGCTCTGTTCTCATGAGTCAACAGTTTCTAGCATCCATGGGTCAGACACTAGGCATTATGTCACTTAATTCACTGGACAGCATATAGAGGGAGGAGCTGGCATCACTTCCTTCATCCCACAGATGATGTGGCTGAAGATGAAGCATTTGAGCCCCTCCATCCAAGGTGCTAGGAAGGCATCCAGCAAGGTTGTGACTCAGCTGGTTGGTGTCAGTGTCATAAACTCCAGTTGATCACTCCCCTCGCCTAAATGTCTCTCACCAGAAGAACAGCTCTCTAAACTATCCACAAACCTCCATCCTACTCCAACTCAGAACCTGATAGTCTGTCAAACTTCAGCTTTTCCTAATATTTCGGCTTTTCTCTATAGGAAATACAATTCTTACAACAGGATCCCACACTAGTCTTAGAACATCATATACATGAAACTAAAAAAAAAGAGCAACTACATTCAAAAATCCTTTAAAGGACACTTTGTGTAAGAGAACTGATTTTTTCTTCCATTTCTTTCTTTTAAGGAGTCCATAATTAATTACTTTTTGGCAAGAAGGTTTCATCACCCATAGTAACTTCAATTGAATGAATGTGGTTACATGAAGGAATCTGTTCAAACAAATTGCTAGACAATTTCAGGGCTCAGCAGGAAAGTATAGTAATCTATGAATGAACAATGACTATAGTGAATGGAAGGTACAAAAGGCAGCACAAACGCCAGGCATTTGCCACCTCTACTGTAAAATGATTACCCTAATTGGAATGTCTGGGTGAGAGTTGAGGGAAGAGGAAATGCTACATTTGTATAGCTTCTCATCTTTTTCAAACTTCTTCATTCCTTATTGTCATGGTTTATGTCTGTGTCCCCCAGGCCTCATGCATTTGCATTGTGCATTTGTGATTGGTTCATTGTCTAGTGCTTGGATTGATGGTGTCAGTGCTACCCCCACCTAGGGGTGGAACCAGGATGTAATGTAATGGCAGGAAGAAAGTGTGTCTTGCTCTTTTGCCAGTTCCTGCCTTGCTGTTTGGAGCTGCCATGAACTGCTGCCCAGCCATGCCACCCTGCCTTGGAGCCAACTGAGTATGGACTGAAATCTCCGAAAACTGTAAGGAATAAACCTTTCCTTTCCCAACTTTGGGCTTTAGGTGTTTTGTCTCAGCAGTGAGTAAAAAGTAACTAAGACACTTACGCTATTCTTTTCTGATAAATGCTCCCCACTTAATTAAATGCATGCATGTGGAGATACAATAGAAACCAGAGGCAATATCTCCAAACCTCTCCAAGTCTCTTGATTAATGATTTCCAGTGACATTTTCTCCTTCCCCACTCATTGGTTTTAAACTTTAGTGGGTGTAAAGATGATTTTCAAGCTTCTGATGGAGAAAAGAAATACATACAAGTAGGTCCTCATGAGTTTTTTAAATGTTAATTTAATTTTTTCAAATGTTAATTCTGAATTTGGGTTCAAAACTCAGGTTAAGTATGATATGTCTTCCTTTATACGTGTTACAATAGTTTCTGAGATCAAGAGCTTTGGACCATAATTTAAGCAACACCATGTTAAACCCAGATAAGTGTCCCTTTTACACAGGAGATGTGACAGAACTTAATGTCTTTAATAGATTCTGTTCTTCCTTTCTATTTTCTAGTAGCTTGTTCTTCCTGAAAATAAAACCACTGTGACATGACTTAGGGGTAATATCACAACCTTATGTTTCAAAATGAAATTGCAAGCGTGTATTCTTCAACTTAGTGAACTAATCTCTTATCTCAACATTTTCTTATTCCTCCCTTTATTCTGTTTATTATTTATGTATGTGATGTTTCCCTCTCCTCACTCCCACAGAATCATTCATCATTTTGAGGGTGGCATTGAATCATCCATTCACTTTACATTGCTTACTGTGAACACAACTCATAAACTTTTTAAGGAGAATAAAAAAATAAGTAAAGCCAAAGAGCAAGTGATTTGATAGACCTCTTGAGCATGTCCATCCACAACTGTAGAGCTTTAGATGCCTACTCTAGTTATCCAAGAGCTACCACTGAGTGAGAGCTCTTATCAGGTGCAACCCCCAGTGAAGGGCTCAAAGAAGGCAGACATTTAGGACAAAACTTTACTATTCAAAGTTGCTTCTCACTGTGTGGAAAACGATGACCACTGAGTCCACATTCAATCAAGCCAAGTCTGCAGTAGCTGCTGAGTGTAATGATGTAGCCCTGGACATTAATCATCCAGCACATGAATAAGGAGCTTGTGGGGAAAGGGAGTTATATTTATAAGCTGGCAAAGTGTTGGCTCCTCCTCCCACACACAAGTTCACAAGCATCAGTCTTTTCAAAACACAAGATGTCGTTCAATTTATCCTTTTTTGTTTTCTTCTGACTTACGTGAATGTAAGTATTATAGGATTCCTGCCTGTCTAGGAAGAGTAATAGCTTTGCTCTCTAAGAACTGAACTCCCAGGCTTAATTATTATGCGAGTGGGCCAGTATATGAAGCTGGTAGGCCAAAAGCAATTTAAAGTCTATGCTGCATTGGCTTTCAAATTATTTCATTTCTAATTCAGATGCATATGCTGTTAAGGTATTTATCGCTTTTCCATAATCAGCCCGATTGCCTCATGGCTAGAGTCTCCCAAGACTTCTAAATCCACCAGGCTGCATTAGTATCAATAAATGACACTCTGTACCCTCCCACATGGAATGGGCTTGGAGACTCCTCCCCACATGTCTCACTCCATTTTTTAGTGTGGCTTCTACTTGCAGAACGTTTATCAAATACTGCATACCTCATCAGCAAAGTTGTTCTGTTTCAATTATCATGGCACTGTGGTAAGCTTAGATAACTGAGCACTCTGATGCCCAGCTACATCCAGAATTCCTTGAAAAACTAGTCAAATGATTTCTTCAGTCTTCAAATTAGATAAGACTTTCTTTCTTTCACTCTCTCTCTCTTTTTTTTTTTTTTTTTTTTTTTTTTTTTTTTTTTTTTGCTTGAACAATTCACCTCAAAACATGAGGAACTAGATCACCAAGAGATTCTGAGGGAAAGCTCAGGCTGATAAACTGGCCCTTGTAAACATAAATCCAGGGCTGTCAATGCTGCCAGTCTGTTGCAGTCCATAAGCACCCAGTCCTTTTCACCACAGAGACAGTTGTTTCTACCTAGTGTATTGCATATGAAATTTTCAGCTGAGTGAAAGAAACCATTGCTATGACACCAGGAAAGAATCTAATTTTTCTCCTTCTTTGTTCTTAATCTTGTTGCTTGTAGTTAATTATATTTTTACTTATTCTACCCTTCTGGAACTCAGGAATGAAGTCAGAGATGAAGAACAGGAAACACTGGAAGATAAATAAAATAAAGAGGCATCAAGTTGGTAAACATGTAGTTTTGTGACAAAAAAAAAAAAAAAGTTCATCAGATTCATCAAAAGTATTCAAGAAAATAGTTTGATCTTACTATTAGTAATAAGGCAATAGTCCCTGAAAGTCAAGGTCTTCTTAAAGATCAACCATAATAGCATATATAACAATATCCACTAAAAGTATAAATTATGGGTATCATTTTTAAATGCTTTATGCTGTGATTTGATGTCCAAAAAATTTAATCTGGAATGGTAAGTTCTAATCAAAATTCATCTTGAAAATGCCATTTTGACTTGGAGGGTATTTTCCATATATACATGGAATATATATAAATGCATATATGAAATATAGCTTACATTCACTCTGGATTTCATTTGTTTTACTAAAGAGACAGCTCTGTTACTTTACTAACTGACAAGGGAACTGGCACCCTAAATGCTCCACGATGCATGATTTCTCATCATTTCTAGCACCCCTGCAGTTAGGAATTAGGCAGTCACATCTGAACATGAATGTCAAAAATACAGATATTTTTATTCAAATCTGGGATCAGCCTCATCTCTCTGATTTTTCAAAAACCTTCCTTCATGGTGCTGCCAGTAAACTCAGGTCCTTGGTATCACTATATTACTGTCAGAGTTGGCCGAGAAATTCATCATAAGGATCTTAGAGTTTAAGACAAGCATTAAAAAAAGAAAACATTGTAATAAAAATATGATGTGGGGCCAATATGCATCTCAAGGGTGTGTGCTACTAATGGAAGCTTGGCCAGTTCCTACCTACTGGTGAACAATCTTTCAGGAAGCTGCAAGCGATATATTTGGGAGAGAATTTAGAGACTCCAGAAATCCTGAGAGGGAGAAACCTGAAAAGAATTCGAATACATTTTGGGGGAAAGAGGCTGACAGTAAGATGCCATCAAGTCCGGTGAGAGTGTAGGTTCAAGCTAAGTGGCATTGGTGCATGGGGGACATGCAGGAAACAGTGTTTGTGAGACCTACACAGGGAAAATTTGTATTTTGCATATTTTCAGCTTCTGATTCTTAAACTGATCTCATCAGATGAAGGATACTAGAGTATATCAAGCTAATGTTGGAAAAAATGAAAGCGATTTTCAACCGCTTGAAAAGGGGTGAAATGAGGCGGAGGAGCATGCACCATTTCTGAACCCTTCAAAATGGCAAGTGAAAAAATCTCGTGAGGCTTAATAGCACCTGAAGTGTGGTACGTGGAGGATAAGGAGGCTCAAGCTCTGAGAAATTTTTTTGTTTGTTTCATGTGAAACCAATCACAGAGCATAAAGTAGAAAGCTCGCTTGGCATCTATTCCACCATTGCTGTGGCACAGGGGAAGAGGATTTACAGAGCCAGGCCCTGTTAACACTAATGAAAAGTAGGCGGGTAAATCCTGTGCACATGAGGAACAAACACTGGTCTTTGTGTGGGGTAATTAAGAGCTCCAGCGAGCTCGCAGTTGTTCACACTGTGCTCAGCTCGCGGTGAAAGCCCCTTCATAGTGGCCTTCCAGTGGCTTTCTTTACTTTCAATGGTTGCAGCTTAACAGTTGTTAACCATCTCTGGCCCTAGTTTCTTCTATAGAGCCCTGAAAGGGATGATGTATTGGAAATGACATTATTTGACACTGTTGACAGAGAGGCTTTCAAGGAGGAAACACAGGAAAATAAAGGACAAAATTCAAAAGGAATTTACAAGTAAGCAGAATAGTAAGTGGTTCAAAAGAAATAAGCCTGCATTCAGAATGTCCTTGCCAGCATCCTCTTCCTTGGGACTATGGCAGAAAGAGGAGCCATGTGTAACCAAGAACAATGTCACCAGTCCACAGGTTGGTGTCAGTCTGAAGTTCAAAGCCATAGAAAAGGGAAGGAAATGAATGCTTCAGGGATTTTAGGAGAAGAAAATGAGAGAGCTCTTGTATCATCCTTTCTCTACTCCTCAGAACAGCCATTAAAGTATGGTTACAAATATGCCCTGAATTCCAGAAATAACCCAAGGCAATAAACATATCTGTCTCTTCTTAGGATGCATTCAAACCTTACAACCAGCCCTTGAAATTAATAGGTTAACATGATGAAATTTTATAAGAATGACGTCCGCATGTAGTCTCTTAATTATTTGTGTCACTGGTATGACACAAGGAAACCCTGGCTGAGGAGCAGATGAGGAAGATATATTTAATTCAACAGCAAGCTCAGTCAACATTCAGAAAATACCTGTGCTTGATTACCCCACTCCCTGCCTACAGCCTACCATTCAGCGTAATCTCAGTGTAATGACTAACGGGCTGAATAGATAAATGAGGTTTTGAGATGAGCTAATTCAAAATTGAACTGCCTCCTTATTTTGAGAGGAATCAGTCTGTTCCATGGGTCTTAGTCGTTTGCCAGACTATTATTTTTCTTTTGAAAAAAGTGTCTTAGAATTATTGCTAAAGAATGGAGCTAGAAAGATGAAATGTTCAGGAATAGTGATATACAAAATTCAATTGTAGACCTTTTTTTTTTTTTTCTATAGCAGAATATACTTGAAACAAACAAAAAAGCATCTTTTGCATATTAAAGCATTCCACAGAGAACAAAACCTTTTCAGTAGATGTGGCATTTTCTTAATTAAATAGAGCTTCAGCTGCTTTCACACCAAGTTTCAGAATAAAAGAATGTAAACTAAGCCACTCTAAGCTGATATGGTGACTTTGTTTTATTTTTGGAGGAAGGGCGATATCTCTACCTTGCTCTCTCATATTTTCATATTTCACCAAATGTCTCAGTGTTTTGTCCATCATGGCCACTCCAGCTCTCACCTTCACCTCTACATTCCAGTCAACAAAGCTGAAGAAAAACAGTGAATCAGTTCACTACTTCTTTTTTTCCTTTAAGATCAGCACTATCTTTGTTAGTTGTCTAGTTGCTGAAACAAGATACTCAATATCAACAAGTTAAAGTAGGAGAGGTTATTTAGCTCACAGTTTGTAGAGGTTTCAGTGCATAATCAGCTGGCTCCAAGGCAGGGTAGTGGGAAACATAAGCATCACAGAAGATAAACAGTTCAGGTGAGAGGAAAAAAAAAAAAGGGCAAGCAAGCAGAGAACCTCAACAATATCTTTCTGCCCCTTTTATCTTATCCTGTCTATTCAGGATGGTAGCACCCAAAACCTTAATTCTAGCATCCTTGATCCTAGCATTGCACCATGAACCAATCCCAGCATCACACAATCTAGATCCAGCCACCTCTGAAAAAGCCCCACCTATGACCACATGAGTCTTTGTGGAGACATCTAGACACAAATCAGTACAAGGACCTAGATTTTTTAAGCATTTCAATTCACATTGGTTGGCCAAAATTTGGTTACATTTTTCTATTTGACTGTGAGGAAGGATGAGAAAATGTGAATTTAAGTTTTTAGCATTATATGAAAACAGCAGATTATTACAAGACATTGGCTATTTTATCCTCAGAAACATATACAGAGCACAGATGTTAGCTGGAAGCTTGTAGGAATTTCTGGTAGGTCACTTACCATCCCTATTTGATATTTTAAGAAAGAGTTTCTATGGATTGTATAGTATGGCATGCATTATAAAATAGACTACTATGATATATGCATTATACACAAAATATTTGATATATACAAAATTCATAAAAACATTGTAGAAATAACCAAATGCTTAATTAACTATTCAATCAAATGAGGAATGATAAATCAAATGTGTTATTTCCATAAAGAGAAGTTATTTGGCAATAAATAGGTGTTAAACATTGCTGAATCCTGAAATACAATGAATCTTGTAAAAATTTGCTAAAACCCAGTCCAAAAAAATCGTGTATTTTATGAATTTGTTTAAATGAAGTGTTCCCCACAGATAACCCTATAGAAATGAAAAACTGATGATTATTTCTTTTTGGCTATAGAGGAGTTTGGGTAAATTGTGTAAATGAAAATGTTTTGAAACAGATTATGGCGACAGTTTGTAACTTTGTATCTATACTAAAACTACGGAATTGTACATTTCAAAATACCTAGATGCATCATAGGTTCAATAAAGCTGTTTTACAAAGTAAAACAAAATGCTCATATCCTATAACTCATATTTTAAGCATTTCTGTGACATTGTATGAGCTGTATTTAACTCCAGCATGCAATCCAATCCAAACCAAAAAAAAAAAAAAAAAATGTTTTCAGGGCAGGGGATTTAGCTCAGTGGCATAAGCGCCTGCCTTGCAAGCTTGCGGTCCTGGGTTCAATCCCCGGTACCGATTTAAAAAAAAATAAAATAAAATAAAAGATGTTTTGGGGCTGGGGATTTAGCTTAGCGGCATAAGTACCTGCCTTGCAAGCAGGCGGTCATGAGTTCGATCCCCGGTACCGCTTAAAAAAAAAAAAAAAAAAAAGTGTTTTCAGTTACTAAGCTTAAATTTATGAACCATTACTTAAAACAAATAAGGATTTTATCTAAACATATAAAATTTGAGTTTACTTGTGACAAATTAACTTCACAGCAAAAAGTGTATGTGGGGTGTGCATACATTTAAAATACATGTGAATATATTTGAAAAGGAAAAGAGATATATACCAAAAGTGTACTGTGTTCAACTTTAATTTCTTCAACTATTTCATGACAAAAATATTTTGGAGCTCAGGTACCAAGAATTATTCTAGAGATTTCAAATAAGTTATTTCATTTAAAATTAAGGATATCTCACGAGATAAATGTGAAAATTAAAAAAAAAAACTTTGTATCTTGCACAAGACTATTTAGGTAGTATGTTTCATATCAGAACCTCTGAATTCAAAACAATCAATGTGAAATATCATCTCATTCAAATGCCATCAGATAGGGTAGGCGATACGTGATCAAGAAATTACCTTTGTTCATAATATCAAAAATATACGAACTTTAGCATGTTGAAAAGGTGCTAACATGAATCACTGAGCTATTTCATCAGCCTATTGTTTAATGTAATTTTAATTAAGACAATTTTTTAAAACAGTGCTAAAATCAGAGCAAAGGTTAACAAAATGTGGAGAAATTTCTCACATAAATTTTCATAACTAGCACTGATATTCCTACAGCATGTTCAACTTTGCCCAGCATAGCAGAAGTATTATAATTCATGAATTAATACTGACACATTACTGTCAAAGTCCATACGTTACATAGGGCTCATTATTCATGTTATAGATACCGCGAGTATTGACAGATGTATTGGGAGATGTGTAAACTACTATAGTATTAAACAAAATATTTTTATTGCTTTAAAATGCCTTGATTTCAGTCTATTCATGTTTCTATGACTGACTCCTCAAATTTTTGCAACCACTGATCCTTTTAAGTTCTGCTTTTCCCACAAGTTTACAGTTTAAAAAACATATAATTTTCTGGCTTTTTAGGTTTATTCCTTTAAGTAAGTAAAGCACGTTGAAAGATACTCATGATATGAAAGATACTCAGTATTATTATGGTGCGACACATCACTTTATAAATGATAGCACCAAACTGTATTGGTATTTCAGAGTTTATTCACTGTGTCCATCAAGAAAACATAAGATCACTGGAATCTGAGTAATAAGCAGAGTCGTTTGCAGCTCTCAAGAAGAGATTCTAAGGGTTCAACCTAAATCCCTTTTTATGGCCTCAAAACTGTGTTCAAAAGCAGTGAAATTATCCATTGCACTCCCTGGGTTTTCTCTAGGTTTTCTGCATATGCTCTCATCCTAAACATTGGCAATCAGTTTGAAGTAGCACATATTTCCTGATTTGGATTTTATAGACAAGCATTAGAGAATTCTTATCAGTAACACAGGCCCAGACACTCTTTCTAGTATCTTCTGATTAGTAAATGTTTCTAGTCCAAAGTTCCGTGACACCAAGAGAAATTCAACTCAGAATCATTCCCACCTTAGAACCCTTTGACACTAATACCTCCACTGGTCCATACACTTTTGGTTTCTAATTAAGAGCAGGCCAACAATGCATCTGAGTCAGTTGCAGTGTTGTGTTATTAACTTCTGACAGTTGGAGAGTCGTTTTAAATAAGTGATTGGCTTTTTATGAGACTCCTAAACCAAAAGTTGAACCAGTCCTAGTAACATGTACAAGTGAGAACTTAATTATGGTCTGTTCTAAAACACTCATCACCTTTAGAATAGTTCTGATAACCTAAAAATGTGTTGTTTTGGTTTGTGTCATAAAGTTTTCTCAGGAGCTTACATACCTGAAGCCTGGTCCCCAGTGCAATTGTGTCCAGACATAGAGCTGTCAGGTGATTGGATCACGAAGGCCCTGACCTCATGAGTTAATTAATTCATTTATGGATTAACAAATTAGTAGACTACTGAGATGTAGAAAAAAACTTTAGGAAGTAGTAACTAGTTAGAGGAAGGATATATTTGGGGTTATGTGTTTGGAGGGCTTAATTTGTTCTCCAAATCTCTGTCTCTGTCTTTCTGTCTGTGTCTGTCTGTCTGTGCCTCTCTCTCTCTCTTTCTCTGGCTTCCTGACAACTAAAAAGCTGAAGACTTGCCTCTACCACATACTTGTGTCATGACACACTGCTTCGCTGAAGACCTAAAAGCCAAACAACTGTGGACTGAAACCTCTAAAATCATGAGCCAAAATAAACATTTTTTTCTTTGTGAGTTTATTATCTCACATCTTTTATTACAGTGAAGAAAAGCTAACACTCAAGTATTATCACTGATGATTAAAACATTAAGAAATGCACTCTGAGCATGTAATTATTGTATTTAAGAAAATACAATCGCTATCTCCACACACTCATTCTGGATATACTACTGAAAATTTAACCTTATAACAACTAAAAAGCTAGACTCTTTACTTGTCATTGACAAGACAATTATGGCTTTGACCTATACAGTATTAATAGGTGCTATTCAGCCAACTATTAAAATACTTTGGTCCATCCCCCTGTTACGGTGTCAAAAGCCCCACACAGAACCTTCTTCCCTGGCACCACCACGATAGTGGTGACACAGGGCTGAATCATGAGATGTGGTTCCATTTCTCCCTCATAGTCCTACTACTCAGAACACATAAAGCCACATGTCCTCAAATCTTAGATATTCAAATTTCAGGACTCCTTCTCATGCAAAGTAACCAAAAAGTCAAATATAAAATAACTTGTTTTTGTCCTCTTCTGATTCTCTTGAGAATATGTAGATAATCTCTTTACTATTGTTCTAGGTTTTCTTCGATATTTTCCCATTTTTCTTATTCTTTTACTTACTTTCTTGAGTTTAAGTAGCCCCTCAGCCTTTACAAACTGATTGAAAAATGTAATATTTTTCCATAGGTACAGTTTCTCCACCACATCTGTCTCTGATAAAAATGCATAACATAAAAAGAACTATATTTGAAGTACAACATGCTGAAATAAGTGGAAAACTTGAATTCAATGTCACTACTTCTAGAAGGGTTTGGTGTGTTTGCACTGGACTTCGATATTTCACAATCAAGTACTCTCCTGCTACTGAATACCTTTCCTTCCAAGGCACTTTCCTTACCTCTGTTCTCCACAACTTGTTTTCACAATGCTTCTTCATCCATTCTGCAAATAGAAGATTCTGTCATTAATTGCTGAAGCAAATACTAAAAATGACCGTGAATCTTGCTGATTCTGTCATCATTAGCAGAGCCTTTGACCTGTTTCACTCATTTGCATTTCACTCACATTCCAACAGAGATTAATTTTGTGTCTGCTCTACCAGCTCATTTGAAGTCTATTTCTTGAATCAATATCAATCATTTAAGTGTGGTATGGTCCTGTGGGATTCAAATTAGTCTAGATGATAACTGAGCTGCTCTGTTCCCAGAATTTGGTACACACAGTTTGTCTCTCGTCCGAGGAGAGACATAGCAAAACCACTGATGAAGAGCAATGACTATTCATGCAGGCAGCTATAGGCTAATAGTGGTAAAGTGATACTGTATTTTCTCAAACGTTTTTCAATAACTGCTTTGCTAGCTTGTCAAGTTAGGCAATAATTACCAGTAACAGGAAACATGCTTGTTTTCAAGCCTTTATTAAATAAGAATTTCTTTCCCCTTTTCCCTTTATACATAAACAAATTATCTTACTTATCTCTACTTAAACATTTCCTTTGTTCCTAATTGCCTTATAGAGATGAATGACCGTTTACTAAACACACACACACACACACACACACACACACACACACACACACACAGGAGGGAGAGAGAGAGAGAGAGAGAGAGAGAGAGAGAGAGAGAGAGAGAGAGAAATTCTTTCTTTTTAAACTAAACTGCCTGGAAAATATTTTGCATTGAAAACACAAACCATGATGGTTGATTAGAACAAACATATTTTCTCAAATATATTGCGTGCATATAAATTATTGCATTATGAGTATTTAGCCATTTGGTTTGAATCATCTCATTTACATCTTTGTGTAAATGGAAAAAGAGGTACACTGATTATTACTTTGTATTTTTATGGTTAATACCTCTATTACTTCAGGCCCCACAGTAACAATCATCTTGGGAAGTCACACTAGTGACAGAAGTTCTGTGTTGTCCCATAGCAAGATCGTGTGAATATATTTCCCGAAACTAGCATTTTCCCACAATCTGTGTTTGTTGAAGCTGTGACATTTAATGGGCTATTGCCCAATCTTTTGCAGCAATATTCCAATTAACTCACATTCCCTCAGTGATTCTATTATTACAGATAGGAGTCATACTTCATGTACTAATATGCAACTCTCTTGCCAAAAACTGGGAAATCTAGGTTATACATCAAAATTTCATTTCAATATTCACGCACCATTAATACGACAAGGCAGGTGACGAAAGGACTCCAGATTCCTTGCCTGGTCAGCTACCAATATTTTCTATTGCAAGGTATTCTCTGTTCCATGGGGAAATAAACACGGTGATGTGAATAAATTGAAACTCTGAAGCCAGAAGAGACTTCAGAAAGAGCAAAAATAATTTAGCTGAAATTTCTCATTAAGAAGCAGTCATACTTAGTGGCTATTGGTCAGATTAAATGAGATAGTATATTTAAAGTGCTTCTAGTTATGAAGGCCCAGTGGTTATTCTCTGGAAAGATTAGCTGTTTCATAGATGAGGAAATCAACATAGACATGTCAACGGTTTTAAATTAGTTTTAAACATTACGAAAGCTAGAACTCAGATTTCATATGATGTAGTTTAATATTTTTTTCATCACTCAACAGATATATAAAAATCATCCATTTAATTTCATCTATAGCAACAACAATTTTCTAGAAAATCTATTGCTGTAGACTCATTTGAAGTTTATTAGCTTAAGACATTTAGGATGAATCTGATTAATTTAAAGGGTCATTTGTTATTTTTTAGACCAGTTCTAATTTTGTTCAGGCTCATCTCCAAGTCTAGAACTCAAGGAATCTTCCCAACTTAGCCTTCTAAGTAGATGGGACTACAGGCAGACTACAGATACACACCACCACTCCTGGCTTAAGTCATTTGCTCTTTTAGACTGAAAGGTAAATTGTAGAAATTCTTCAAGTTTTATCATCATATTTACCTATCCACTCTGCTTTTTTTTTTTAAGAAATGGAGTCTTTATTCTACAGCAAATATTATTCCATTGATTATAATTTTTAAAAGTTAATTTAATATATATTTAAATTATGTAGTCACCTAGCAGTTCAAATCCTAATGGACACTTTTTATTCTTCCCTTGCCTATTTATTGAGTGACTACTATGTTTTCTACTGGAAATAGTACACTGCATAAAAACTGGGTGTTTCTCTTAAATAAGGGAAGTTTGGTGTTTAATGAATAGGGCAACAGGTTAAAAGAGTAAGGCATAAAATATTTATAGCAAATTTGTTACTAGAACCAAAGCCTTAGTTTTGGCTATCTCCATAATCATATGAAATGCTATTGATGATGATTCTCTCAATGTCCTTTAAAGATATGTGATATGAGTGTGCTATTTTTTAGAATAAAATCCTAATTCAGTGCTAAGATCAGTTTTCAGCTACTGGAGGAAAACACTGTATTTTCTATACCTTTTCATTTATCATTTATATGGTGCTTTTAATACATCAAGAACTAATATTTTACAATATTTTAGTTGACAAATTGACAGCCTGCAATAAGCTCAGTCTGTGCACAGAGAGGCCCACAAAACAAAGAGGAAGGAGGTGGTGGCTCTTTCCAGCGTGCTGAAGTCTCTATTTCTTTTGACAATATTCCAGAAATCATTTCTAGAATATTAATTTTCTTCTGCATCTCCCATTTGAATTTCCTTTCTGGACTTCTTCATACATTGTCAAAATTACCCAAAAGAAAAATTCTAACTTCTTAGGCTATTCGAAAGGATTATTTCCCTCCAGAACTAATTCTTCACTGGCAGTCCATGTGTTGTTGATGTTTAGCTCTAGAGTATAAAAAAGGACTCTAGAATTCCAGAGAGGATTTCAGACTGGCCTATCCTCAGAAATATTTACATGGCATAATTCTGGCTCACAGAGAACCCTATTCTTAGATGCACACGGCAATAGAATATAAAATAAAAGAGTTCAAGAGATACAAAGAGTATATCCATTCTTGTTTCAATCATGAGTGGCACAACTAAATACAATATGTACAAAATAAATTGAAATACTCAATCCATTACCACATTGTTTTCAATAATTGTGTATATGATGTGGAAATGTTATTATGCAAATATATATATATATATATATATATATATCTCCATATCATTGGAGAAAAGGATGAAAAACTCATATATTAATAAGTATGTTGTGCACAGGGGAATAGTCACAAACCTGAAAGAATGAAAACCCTTCTAGAATTTTTATTAGTTTATGATTTCCCTCATGCTAACACATAATTTTTTGGTCTATAAGACCATGTTTTGTGCTCCTTTGATTTCTCCATTGAACTTAGTAGTGTTTCACAGATAGAAAAGGTTTTAATAAACACATGCTTTTTTTTAGAAAACAGATTCAACTGATAAGGTTGTGCAAGCATGTGAATAAAGTAAAGGGACAAAGCAAATGATCTTGAACCTGACATTCATAACTATGTTTCTTGTAGCTTTGTACAGTATTCAGGAGGGATCAGTGAATGATTTTCAGAATATACTCTTCCATTACAATTTAATGACATTATTTAAATTAGAGACATGTTGCTTTCTCAATGAGCACCATGATAAAAGTATGTGTTTCACATACATCTAAGGAGAAAAATTCAGAGAAAATAAGATTTGGATCACATAATTTGCAGAGTATAGCAATTACTTTGACAAACTAACATTTTTCAAATTCAACGCAAGGGTACTCAGGTTGCTGATCATATGATGAAATCCTCTACCCTAGCAAAGCAGCACTACAGTGTACGTACATGTAATACCCTCAAAGGGCTTTAGCCCAGTGACATATGTAACTTAAGCCACGGGCTACACCTAGCAATGTGTGTGCAATTGCTTTGTGTCTAGAACTTCTGGAAAATGAAATGGTTTAACATTGTGTGACCGTGGAAATCTTATTAGTTATGCTTTTTGCTAATATCCTACTCCATTTTTCAATCAAATACAATTCAATGCTGAGCTAAAGTGGCCAATTATTCACGACTTAGAAGAATTTTGGAAACTCTTAGGAAAGAAATGGACCGAGAAAAACATGATATTATACTACTTATTTCTAGGGATCTTCTACTTTCTCCTTTCTATTTATTACTTGCTGTCAATAAATATTGGTGTGAAACAATAAATCCAAACCAAGGAAAGAGAAGGGTTCTAAGGAAAGCAAGCTGAATGAACTTTCATTTATCAGTAGTTCTTCAAAAATTTTATATGCTTATAGACAGCACCATGGTAAGTTTGGGAATATTCCAAATGCATCTATGGTTATTTGTGTAGTAGCATCCTCTAAATGACAAAATTGTGCCTGAAGGCCAATTGATTTTATAGCATGTTCATAAAATTATAAATATACACATCACTTATCTCTGATTTACAACTTCAGTTTCACAAAAGAGTGAAGATTGAGAAGTTATAGCATCTAAGAAGAATAAAACCATGTTATGAGTTTATTTTTGAATTAACTGAAAATAGGTTTTAGCTCTATTTAAAACTTTCAGTAGTATCCTAGACTTTTACTGAGAGTGGCACTAAGTACATGGTAAGCATGAGAAAGTCAGAATTTCAAAATAATGGAAGATTTGCTATACTTTAAAAAAACTACCTATTTTAAGTGAAATGCTAAAAATAAGCACCATATGGGACTAAAAGGAAATTGGATTATTTGATCTTATTCAGTTTTGAGGAATCTTGTCACAATGAAAAGACTTAAAAACCATTTCTAGCCCAGCATTTCTCTTCTAAAATCATAGAATACAAATACTTGTTTTAACTCTAATTTTAAAAAAAGTAACCAAACATCTTAACAATATATTAACACCTAATTAATATATTGCATATTGTTATCTTAGAAGTATTGTTTAGGTTGCAAGATTTAGGCAAGAAAAAATGATCAAACAAACAAGTGTTATTAGTTGCAAATTTTTTATAAATGAAATACAAGA